TAAATTGAAAGGGCTGCTACGCGTTCAAAGTGCCCACGGACGTCTTTCACAAATGCTGGCGACGGGGATGCTTCCACTTGGTTCTTGGAGTGCCTTCACTAGAAACTCTTTCTGGCCTTCTGCTTTATTGCATTCACATCTTACACTTCTACTCCATCCTATTCTATCGATCGATTTGTCTCTACTCTCCGAAATCGCGCGCTTTAACCCGATTCTTTCATTGCGTCGCCTGATACGTAGCCGGCCAAAGGCCAACTTCTTTCCATGCCTCGCCTTTGGCTCCGCCCGAATTACCTTCGATTGTCCATAGAGTGTAGTTTGTACGTTTGTTTCTCTTCAGAAAAAAAAGCAATACACCACATACTGGAAGGAACCGAAAACGCAGAACCAATGCTTGAGGAGCAAGACTGATATCAGCTGCGCAACCAAAGCTCTTGAGGATAGTCCTTGTAACGTTTATAATGGGGCCTTGATGTTATTGCAGGCAAGACACTGAAAAGTAAGGGCGTCGAAGAAAACCCTCCGCAACTCCTCACTGATCCAGATAAAGAAAGCAGGTTTGAGCGCAGCCTCTTAAGATGTGTGTAGTAATGTACACCTCATTTCATTTGGTCGGTTTGACCTGATGATTCCTGGTGAGCACTGCCGGTCAAGGAACGCTTCGTCCTTTGTGGGTGGATCTCTATCATTCATTCATACTGGCAATTCGAGGCACTCCATGTCCCAAGTTTTCGGTCTCTGGGCTATTTTGAAATCAAAACTGATATCTCTGTCATCGGCACCACCCATCTCGGATCATGCCCCGCCTACGATGCCGGGGCTTCGTGTACTTATGTCTGCTCCGTTTCTCCTGCCCCATGCCCCACCCTTAAAGGAATCTTTCGCGGAAAATTCTTGCATTCTTTCTTAACATGAATGTGTCAGTTGTGATCACTGGAAACAGCACACAAAGTTTCACGCATGAAGATTCGGTTTCGAAGAGAAACAAACGTACAAAAACTACACTCTATGGACAATCGAAGGTAATTCGGGCGGAGCCAAAGGCGAGGCATGGAAAGAAGTTGGCCTTTGGCCGGCTACGTATCAGGCGACGCAATGAAAGAATCGGGTTAAAGCGCGCGATTTCGGAGAGTAGAGACAAATCGATCGATAGAATAGGATGGAGTAGAAGTGTAAGATGTGAATGCAATAAAGCAGAAGGCCAGAAAGAGTTTCTAGTGAAGGCACTCCAAGAACCAAGTGGAAGCATCCCGTCGCCAGCATTTGTGAAAGACGTCCGTGGGCACTTTGAACGCGTAGCAGCCCTTTCGATTTTTCGAATTTTTTTTACCAAAACAAAAGCAATATTTCTGTTCTTTTCATTCTTATCGTGGATAATGAGTCTCAAGCCAGTGATTTATGGCTGAAATAGAATCATGATTTTTCCGCGAAGGATTCCTTTAACGGGCTTGAGCTGTACTCTTCATGTGGCACTTCTTTTTGCAACATTTCTTTATTTTAGTTAATCGGTTATAATAGTACCAAATTGAGTGACAAACGCACGCACAAGCTAGTGCTTTATATATTGTAGGGATAACGTAAAATTTTACAGCTTGAGAAATTCTTCCGCGCAAATCGAGACACTGTTGTGGATATTGGTTTGGAGGAGTGCTCACCGCCAAACCTCTTCACTGACAAGCTTTTGGAGCCGCTATTGCCTGGTACGGATTAGGATCACCTTTTTGCAACATTTCTTTATTTTAGTTAATCCGCTCGTTTTTACCCTCCCAGACAAGTCTGGTACCAATTAACCGACCCCGGAGGGATGGAAGGCTTGGTTGGCCCGGGCGACTCACGACCCAGGATTTGATCCCCGGACCGCTCGCGTGGTAAGCGCGCCACTTGTCACTACACCACTTCCGCCCCTCTTATAACTTCTTACATATGTATATAGGGCTTCATGACTACATTACTTTAATTTTATGGGTGGTTCGACTTCTTCCGAAGACAGTGGGATCTCTAATCCGATGCGTCACCTACCGACTTCTTCTGAAATTTGCTGAAACTGATAGACGCATCGTCGGAACCCTGTGTG